CTTCCAGCCTAGGCCATTCTGTGATTCTGTATGATTGGGTTGACTTCAAAACCAGTTTCAAGGTTGCGAAACACTCGCATCTTGTTTAGTGCCACCAGTATTGTGCTTCTTGAGTGCTTCTGTGGTCCTAGTGGCCATCTTTTGAGCTTGTAATTTCTGCTTTCAGCAGAATGTGTGTAACTTCATTTCAGGCACTTTTGATTATTGATATCAATACCTGTCGAAAGAAAGGCGTGGGGGTACCAGTCCTTCTGTGGTCGACTGCAGCATTTGGCATGTGTGAATATCTGAGTGCAGTTATGTTTTTTGAGACATCAAGAACACCTTAGTGTAATACAGGCCCAATGGACCATGCAGATTTCATTCTTCTTCTGGTTTTCTCCTTAAAAATTTTCAACTGACTGATGAAATGCCACACTCCTGTTGTCATTTGAATTCCCCAAAACAATAGATAGAACAGAGTGCTTACCTGCAGGTATTTTATATTGTCATCGATATTGTCCCTTATGATTACAAAGACTGGATATTTAAGTTATTTTTCAGTGCTACACTGTATCACACTTCAGTTTATCACAGTTAACACGTGGGCTTCTATTGCACTAAAGCTTTCCAGATGTGAATTCAATTTTATTTTTTTTTCCCCAATGTGTAAAACAGGTTCAGCTGCAAGCATCACTTCAGCCCCTGCTGCTACAACAAAAGGCCTCCTTCAGGTAACCAGAAACTAGGAGCAGTTTTATGCTTGATTGCCGCAGTTATTTCCAAAATTCATCTCTGCTCTTTTCTCCAGGTTGCACCTACATCATCAAGCATAACGAAACAGATGGAAACTTCTAAAAGGAGCGAGAAGGCAAAGACTCTGGCTTCGTCTGCACACCCAGATAACGTAACACAGATATCTACAGCAGATGGGGTGATAAATAACCTTCAAAGGGATGACTCTCTAGACTCTGGTTCCTATGGAAAACCGGCTGAAACTCACGATAGCGGCACACCAGCCAAAACGATTGGCAGGTTTTCAGTCATCAGCACACAAGACGAATTAACTTTAACCGCGCCGCACTGCTTAAGGTTCTCGGCACCCCCCGACGTCTATTTGGATGAGCTGCCTTCCAGCCCTGATCTGAAGACAGCTGTCCGACGGGTGCAGACGGCCTCTTCTGTCGACGTCCTCTGCGACCAGGGCTCGAGCGATTCTGCCGACGAGCCTTTCCCTCGTCAGTCAGCTGCTGCCGCCCAACTGTCCCCCCCGAGCAGCAGTGCAGCCTCTGACTTAATTAAAAAAGCAGCTGCTTTTCTGCAAAGGTCTGGCAAAGCTAGCTCGCCGAGCCTCGATTCCCCGAACGGGCAGGGAGCAAAAATTCCGACCATCAACATAACATCTTTCCACTCGCAGTCGTCGTACATGAGCAGCGACAACGACTCGGAATTTGAAGATGCGGATATGAAGAAAGAATTGCAGAACCTGAGAGAAAAGTATGTCGGGTTTACGAACGGTGCTAGGGGAGCTTTGTGTTAAGATACCTTGGCGGCATCTGTGCACACCATGAGCAAAGCGTTTGTAGTTGTAATGAGTAAAGTGGTTCTGGGCAAATAAGGCATCCTTAGGGTCTTCCCCCAAGTGCCACACTGCATCTTTTTATAGGTCGCTTTATTTGTCAATGCCATTGAGAAGAATAATTCACTAATAATTTCTCTAAACTCCAAAACGTTTCTGCTGCCAGGCCTGCCCAGTTTCCTTGCGGAAAAGCCATGCTGGTACCAAGCGGTGCCACTTGTGACGGATGTGACAGTAGGTTCCCACGTGGACGCTATTTAAGGCGGCATAAAAATAATCTGAATACCTGGGTAGATACCTGCCGTAGGGTTCTCTTTGTGCCCTTCTCTGCGAGGGTGATGTAGACCATCAGGTCTACAGACCCATCGCTATTTCCCGACTCAGTTTTGCAGCAGATAACATCTTAGGCAGGTACGACCCTCGCTTCACCTCCCAGCACCTCCCTCGGCATTGGTCCGGTTGCGACAGGGACTGGGGGAGCCTGGCCAGGAGTCTGTCGTGTTGCCAGTCCTCAGAGCCAACTTCTTTAAATGTGAACTTTTCTTTCTTTCCTGGCAGGTGATGGGTAAAAACTACCCTTAGATGATGGTTTAATCAAAATATTAAGCTTCAAGGTGTAATGGTTTTACTGAATACAGACGATGTATCCTTTTAAAACAGAAGTACAGTAATACAGATCCTTTAAACTGACTTTATGGCATCACAAAATCTGCATTAGAAATAAGGGAGTGAATCTTGTGCTAATGGCATTTTTATTTTCTTCATGCTGAACTCCTTCAGCCTGACCCGCATCCCTTGAGAGTTAATTTTTTTTGAAGCTTATGGTTTGAAGAGAGAAATTCTAGGGTAGTGTGGAGTTCCTGTCAAACCTCACGTTAAAGTCAGTTGTTTTTACTGAGGGTGTTGAAAGTCTTTTTTAGCTCAGTAGGATTCCATCTTACAAATGAGTATTTGGGAAGTCAGTCGTCACCACAGGTAGATTGTTATAACTTCACTTATTTTTGGACGAGCAGTTGATTGTTTTATAACCAAAGACTGTTTTGTTTCTTTTTTTATTTGTATAACTAATTATGCTGTCAAGATGTAGTGCTTTACCAAATACATTGCTAGCATTAATCCTTTTATTTTTGATGTTCAGGCATATGAAAGAAATCGCTGAACTCCAGACTCAGCAGAAAAATGAGATAGAGGCACTGTATATTCGGTTAGGGAAACCCCTTCCTCCCAACCTGGGGTTCCTTCACTCAGCCCCACCGAGCAGCCGCCGCCGAAGAACCAGCAAAAACAAACTGAAAGGAGGAAAGCTATTAAACCCTCTGGTCCAGCAGCTCAGGAGCGGCACATCAAGCACAAGTAGGTGCCCTGGGTTGCTTTCCGTACGTCTGTCGTTTGTGTCAGTCGTGGTTGTGCTGGAGCTGTGTGGACTGTGGGAAAGCAAACTCGAGTCACGGTATTAAAGCCAGTAAAAATCCATAGAATGAGAAAGGCACTGGATTTTTACTGGCTTTAATACTGTGACTCGGGTTTGCGTGCTGCGAACCGGTTTGGAAGCGGGCTTCCTTTGGGACAGGCTTTTTAGAGCTGCCCAGTGCTGAGCCAGACACACCTTCTCTCCATCAGTTACGATCCCCTGGCAAAGAAACAATATTCCACTTCCATTTGGAACGCAGCCTCGTTATATTTTCTCAGCTTTTCTCCAAATGCAATTTATTGATGTTTGTATTCACTTCTTAGGTGCCGTTATCCTCTATTGATTATGTGCTCTATCTTGTTGTTGTTTATTTTTTCCTACGAGATGCTGTATAAATAAGATTGGATTGCATTTGCTCCCCCAAAGGATGGGAGGTAAAAAACTCTTATAAAACCGCGATGGATGCTTTGACCATCTGTAGTTTAAGATTTTTCAAACAGTAATGCAATCTTGAGTCGTCATCTCTTTGGAAAGATGTAAAGATGTAATTGAACTGGGAAACGTTGCTATACCCCAGTACCTATTTCTTCAGCAAAATGCGGAATAGAATATGAATAATTTTTCTTCGGTTTAGATCATGCTGTCACTTAGAGGGGCAGCAGCACTTGCAGTATTAACCCTGTACTTTAAACCTGGTAGCTTTAATGAAACAACAGTAGAAATAATAGCGAAGTGATAAAAATAAAGAAGTATATACAACAACTATAAGCCCAATGTCAAACCTGATTTCCCCTCCCCGATAGCAATCCCCACGGGTGCTGCAGAGCAGGCAGCACCGGGTTTTTGGCTCGAACTAGGGCATGTAGCCAGAGTGGTTTGGAGGTTTTTGCTTTTAATCGTGGATTTTAACTGGGGTAGGAAAACCAAAGATGCTCAGAGGCAAGATGTTCTGCGATCCCTCTTGAATCTCAGCATTCTCACCCGGGGGGGCCTGAAGCAACGTTCAGGGCTTTGCACCTCTGTGGCTGCTGCTTGGCTGATGTGCATAAGTTTTACTTGTGAGGAGAGATTCTGAACGTCTGTTATCCTAGGTCCCTTCATTTTCCAGTTGGTTCCTGGCTATTCTCTACCCATTTTGCCCTCTGTCTGTTCACAAACCCCATGGATCTCCATGCTCTCTCTGCACCCGCGGATCTTGGCTCATACAAGCAAGCTACCCCTAGTGGGCTGTTTTGGCGTTTGGGTTTTTTTTTCCTTTTTCCCTTCAGTTAGAGAACAGAAATCTGCTCTGCTGGGCTGCTGTTTTGGTGCATGCCTTCCTTCGTGCATTTCTTCTGTGTCGTTTTCCATCTTTTTGAGGCGCTCTGTAACGTTCATGGTATCTTTGAGTATCTGCATTGACGCCTGTGTCTTCTCATCCCAGACTATGTAGATTCCTCATTTTTTTGGCCTCCTAGGTCCTTTCTGAGGGACCAAGGGCAGGCAATTTCCAGTACGGCTACAGGTTTAACTATAATTTCCACCATTAGATGCTTTTGCCGATGAATTCATGTGACAAATGATGACAGAGGTGTTCTGGTGGTAGGGCCTCTTCACCTGAACTATCTGTGAAGATGCCCATACTTTATAGAGAGCCCTTATCTATATATAGACAGCTATAAATAAAAAGTTCCTCTTTGCAGCAGCTTTTTATTTTGCTCCATTTGCTTGGTTTCACCTTTCATATTCGAGAGTAAAAAATACTCAGTCATGCTGGGTGTTTGTCCTCCTGCTTGGGCGCTTCTGCAGCTCTCCCTTTGTCAGCGGCGCTCCTCGGGAGGTCCCGACTCCAGCCTTTCCGAAAGACGCAGAGAACAAACTGTAAAATTCAAACCTGCTCCGTAAGGTTCTCAGAGCTCGGCGTGCAAGCCCCTGCTCCTCCTGGGGACAAAGCAATAGTTATTTTAGGCGGTTTCCTCATGTTTGCCGCTGCATGTGGTGTTGTTTGTTTGCTCTTCCAGGTAATCTTTCCGACTGTAAAGACTCACCCCACAAAGACACGGGTAAAACTCAGCCCGGATCTCCCGAAGCAGCAGCAGCAACCTCCCCTGCCTCCGCCACCTTTGGGAAGGCTGTTCAGACGCAGCAGCCGTGCTCTGTCAAAGCCTCTTTGTCTTCTGACATCTGCTCCGGCGTAGCCCCCGAAGGAGGTGACGTGAACGCAAGCTCTGGCCAAGGTGATTCTTTCATCCCAGCTGTTCGGCATGTCTTCCAGCACATGCTAAAATTAGCTCGCTTCCCTCATGCTTGAACGTTTTAGGAGTGGATTGCACTTCTAGTGATTAGAGGAACGTGAACCTTTTGACGAGCCGCATTTACTGGCTTGTCTTTTAAAAAAGATCGTTGCAGTATTGTCAGAAGAACAAAAGTAACGTGTCTTCCTGAGTGTTAAGAGTCAACGCTCCAGAAGGGATGCTCATTTTTAGGAAGCAAATTCCTTTTATTTTTGCCAGCAGTGGCTTTATACTGACACCTTTTCTGGAGTCGACCTTACCAATTTCTGAGAAAAGAAAGAAAGGAGGACAAAATAATATATTTAAGGATGGGAGATTGGTTCCTTTGGGACTTTTCTCTAGCCCCTTGATACTAGTAGACTCAGAATTCCTCATTATAAACTACCAAACCGTCTTGGGTGTGAGGAGGTGAAAAAAAGGGGGGGAGGGGCGGAAATAAAAACCAAACCCAACCCAGAGAGCCAAGTTAAGTTGCCTTTATCTAAGGGGTTGTTAACTTTGCGCATGAAGCTGGCGTCCCAGCTAAATGATGCCGGTAGATTGGCTGTGCTCCCCAGTCCCCACCTCTGGTACTTCTGTGTATTGCACACCTCCGTAGGCTTTTTGACTGATCTCGTTGCCATGCATATTGGAAGTTATAATGATGATTAAAATACCTTTCTCTCATTGCACATCCTGCCAAACTAATCTGCAAAATACCTATCTGTTCTCTTCTGCCGTTATTGCATCCTTTGTGTATGGTCAATTATCTTGCTCCTCTTTGGCAAAGTTAAAATGGAGATGTGGATGTTTAACTAACAAAGCTGATTTGACTGATGGTATAGGACATCTGATCACAGCTACTTGTACTTTATAAGTGTCTTTGTTTTCTTCCCTTTATATTCATTTGCAGGCTGGACGGTTTTCCACCAAACGTCTGAGAGAGTGACCTATAAATCTAGTAGCAAACCTCGTACCAGATTCCTCAGTGGACCTGTGTCTTTGTCCATCTGTTTGTATTTGTTCTTTTGTATTTTATCACAGTCCATCTTTCTTTTACCCCCTTTTTCCAATTCCATGTTTTATATCTCTAATATGTTTGGCAGGATGCCCCTTTTTCTGAACCATCTTTTCTTTCTTTTTATCTTCCTTTTAAGTAATCATCATGAACACGCCTTATTTATATTAATTTTTCATATGAAAGCTTTTTTTGCACTGCTTTTGGCTCGTGCCTGGGCACCAAAAGCATGTGTGGAAGATCTCATCATTTATTATATAGCCTTATGGTAAATTTTACCCTGGACTTATCAAAGCTTTTGTACTTTATGTGATTTATGTTGAAGTAATTTTATTTGCAATGTGGCAAATATACATGTCTGCTGTCCCAGTTCCAGCGACAACAAAAAGAAATCCATCCTTCTGTAGACGAATGGTCTCTTTCACACATGTTTGGACTATGAAGACATGCATGTAGCAAGCTGATACAATTCTAGAAGGTCACTGAAGGGTATAACTTCCATACAAGGGCTGTATTAACACGATATACAGTACTGTTTATATCCACTCTCTTTTCTTTAATTTTCTTTCCCCGCTCTTTGCATGTGGAAATGCTGAGACAACAGTGCTCCAGCTAGTTCTTTCAAAATCTGCTCTCTAGGCGGGCTTTCCCCCAGGCATTCACTTGAATTACTTTAAGCGAGCAATTCTTTTTCGCATCCTCGTAAGCAGCAGGAAGATCTGGTTACTCCAAGGGAGAGTGCCGTCAACTTTTTTTTTGTGGAAGCTGATCTGGCTGAAGCACTTTACTCAGCTTATTTTCTTATGACCTTATGTGACCTCAGAGATGAAGTCAATTAGCAGTTCATCAAAGCATAAATAAATAAAAGGCAATATCAGATTTTCGGATGATCCTTTGAAATGGATTGCTAGGGTCTAGTATTTTTGGTTTCCAATAATTGTGCACCTGCTATTTGTGCCCTATTTTAGAGCTTCTAAAGTAATTGGCTATTCGACCAAATGATATCAAGCTATTTAATTAGGTTACTCAGCTACTTAATCAAAAAATTAAGACCTTTTTACTCAATCCTATATGCTGCCTTTTAGGCAAACAGATTTTGCTTGTACAATAAAGATATGTTGTGCTGAACAGGTACTATAGGCCACTTAACATATAACATTAGAAAGGCTAATAATGCTCTTGAGAAAATGTTTGGTTAACTGACTGTTCATTTGCATTAATATCAGATCTCCCGTTGGAGTTCTGCTTCGCTCATCGTTATCCAAGTGGTACAGATCAAAGGCACGAGGCCACTCAAATACACTCCTCCTAATTTTATGAATAAATAATATTGTAAAACATAATCTTGATTTTTTTTTCCTGTTTGTTTGAGATCCCTCGAAGTCCAAGCACTCAGGTTCATGAAAACTGATGTTTACTGCTCGGCATGCTGAATTTATTATCAAGCACTTTTTTAACGACTGTTGAAGTCATGAGACTATTTTGCATTCAGGGATTTTTCCCGAGAACCTGAGGGGAATTCTCAGTTCACAAATTTTCCCGTTTGGTGTTATAACGGACATAGTAGTTTTTTCTTCTGCACGTGTAATTCCCAGAAGTCGTTTATTGTTAGTCTTTCACAGAATTCCTATTCAGTAGATTGCAGAAAGCCTGAGACATGGCAATTAAAAACCAGCCTGTTAAAAATGTTTGGTGCATGGATATTGTGAATGAAACCAAGGGAAATACGTAAATCCTTCAAATCGTGAAGTTTCCCGATGCTTAAATACCTCGGCACGACTAATTGCTTTTCTGTTCTCAGCCCATATGCTTTCTTCTGGGCAGAGGAGGTTTGCACTCCCCCATCTCTGAGTCACACGAGGAGATGGACCCGTTTGCAGGCGTTTAACCCCGACACATCCATCCGAAGCCACCGCCGCTCGGGGAGTGCAGCTCGGCTTCAGACGCCGCCTGGCGCTCGAGTTGCGAGACGGTTCTCCGCAGCTGAATTGCTGGCAGGTTTCGGTGGGGATAGCAGGGTGGTTTTCCTTCTTTTCCTAGCGAGTCCACCGGGTTGGCAGTATGTGTGTGAAGGGATGAGGATGAGGCAGCTGCTGGAAGGACTAACAGCCAGCGGTTCTATTGAGCTGGTATCCAGAGCAACCATGGCCTTAGGAGGAATAGTGCTAGATGATGATGATGATGGGAATGCCACCCAGCTCGTGCTGCTTCGTCTCTGGAAGGGACGTAGATTGGTCCAGCATGGAGGTAGAGCCAAGCGTTCAGACCAGATGCTGAACGTGTTTGCATCTTTTGCCAGATTGGACGGGGCTTTGAGCAACCTGGTCTGGTGGAAGGTGTCCCTCCTGTGATGGGAGGTCTCTTCCAACCTAAAGCATTTTAGGGCAGTAAGGCTGGTGAGAGGTCTAGAGAACAAGTCTCATGTGGAGCAGCTGAGAGAGCTGGGATTGTTTAGCCTGGAGAAGAGGAGGCTGAGGGGACACCTCACTGCTCTCTACAACTCCCTGACAGGAGGTTGTAGTGAGGTGGGTATTGGTCACTTCTCCCAAGTCATGAGCGATAGGACAAGAGGGAGTGGCCTCAAGATGCACCAGGGGAGGTTTAGATTGGATATTAGAAAATCTTTCTGTACTGGCAGAGCGGTGAAGCACTGGCACAGGCTGGCCCCGGGGGTGGGGGGGGAAATGAAGCCACAATCCCTGGAGGTGTTCTGAAAACGTGCAGATGTGGCACTTGAGGACATGGTTTGGTGGTCATGGTGGTGGGTTGGCGGTTGGACTTGATGATCTTAAAGGTCTTTTCCAACCTAGATGATTCTGTATTCTATATTAAGTATTCATTCTGTGATCTTTGCTTCATTCTTGAGCAAGGAGCGCAGGAGCCAGGCGCTGAGCGAGGGCTGCGGCCGTAGGGGCCGGGCTGGGACTGTTTGATGCGGGGTCAGCGCCACGAGTCAAGGTTCCCTTGGGATTTTTTCTCTGAGAGTTGTTGGGAAGAGTTGTGGGAGGTGGTTTAGAAATGCTCTGGATCTTTACGTTTAATTAAGAAAACCAGTCTTTTTGGGGAGCATGAGTAGTCTGGTGCGAGGCGTGTGCTCTATTAGCAGACAGATCAGCAACACACCTTTAAAAAGGAAGGTCAAGATACGTTAAAAGTAATTTTACCGTTTATCCTGCCGTGGTAACAAGATCCATCCAAGTGGCACACTTTTACAGTGTTCTCCAAGCACTGTTTTTTGATCTGTTCCCCATGTCCAATGTGGACTTTTCTCTGGTCCTTTTCATGGAGTAAAATATTTTTGATGGAGTTCCTGAGCTCCTGCCCTGGTTTAAATCACAAGGGGGTGTTAGAGAAAAGTTTGTGCTGATGACAAGTGGAATTTTCAACAAAATCTCCATTTGGCTTAGACTTGTAATCTCGCGGAAAGTGATTTTTGTCAGGTCCGTAGTAATTAATATTTTGTGTGTGCACATGCAGTTATGGACTGGGTCTAACAATTTATTGCCATTCCGAGTTTATTTTAGCTTTCTAGCTTTTTGGCAGCTGTTAGAGTGCAAATACGGGACAGTGGATTTTTTTCTGTACTAGTAGGATAAAATAGCTACTCAATTTCTCAGATAAGAAATCTGGTATCGGAGGTAAAACACTGCTGAACTTTCGCAGTCGTAGATTAAATCTTAATTATAATTCATCTCCTTAACTTTACAGCTATTAAACACCTTGACTGTAGAAGTAATGCAATTAGGCTGGTGAACTGGGTTTAACGAGTGCATTTTTAATTGAATTTGAATTTAAAACCAGCCGTAGCCAGTGATTGCCAGTCCCTGCTTCAGGCAAGAGCACTACTTAGATAATGTTTCTCGTCTCCCAAGCAGCACGCTGGAGTGACACAGGGTGGAAGAAGCAGCTCTTTTTGGTGATTGACTTGCCTGTAATATTTTCCTTAACATTGGCTCCACTCATGTGGGTGTTTTCTGAATCCGTCTCGTACCGCCGCTCTCTGGCGCGTCCCCACCACGTCCAAGGCCCCCAGGTTTGATTTGTCACCCGAGGTGCTTAGGAACTTGTGACTTGGTTTGCAGGAAACGGAGGGGTTGGTGATTAAACATTTTTTTTTACCCGCATTCGAGCACGTCCCAGAGTCAGCTGCCTGCTTTTATTTTTTCGCAGGCAGTTGCTTTTCATTTGCGTACATGTTGTGCTAAATACCACCTCTTGCCACGCCGCAGGGTAGTTAAGAAAAATAGCGTTGGAGCAGAACTGCCGCTGGTGTTTCTGTCATGAGAGGTGCTAGCGAACTGTGAGATAGGCCAGGTAAGGTGTATTGGAGGGGAAAGAAGGGCAAAAACCAAGAAACGAAACGCGGCTTTGTGAACGTGACTTGTGTTTGTTATCTAGGCTTTGAGATGAGAAACTAAACTTGGTCACGCCTGCGTAAGCCTTGACTGTAGTGGTGTCCTCCTGAATTTCCTGCAATAGAAACCTCATTAAACTATATGAAACAATAAGAAAATCTTTCAAAGCAATCCTTCTGTTCCTCCTCATGCCACCCATATCAAAGCACATATCTTCTCCCTTTTTCCCCCTCCCGCTTTTCTTTACTTTTTCTTCCTCAGTCTCTGACTGATGTCTCTCCTTTCTCCTTTGAAAACTCTTTTCAGAGCCTATGTCAACCTGGACCGACGATCTCTGAGTTTAAAGCTGCATTTCTGGCACAGTAACATAAAATACCTCCCCCGGTTTGCTATAGAGAAAAAGCTCATCCATCCTGTATCTTGCTTTTTGCCCCGCTCTGATTTTGCTCATTTTTTTCAAGTGCTTCTTCACAATAAACTTGCCATGCCCCATGCCAGATCCTCATCTCCTCCCATACCATAACGATCTTCTTCTTACCAAGTCCAAAATACCTTTCAGGAAATTTGGCACTCGAATGGAAACGGTGCTTATGTCTGGCAAGATCTGACGGTCGAGTAGGGTTCTCGGTGCACTTCTGGCCCTTTTAACTCTCTGTTCAACAGAATATGTGAAATCATGATGAAGGCTGTGACGACATAATAACAAAACAAAAAAAAAAGACATAGTTTGGTTAAATGAAAACTCAGCTTCTCTGCTGGGTGATTTTTCTGCGCTTGGACAAGGCGTAAGGGGAACTCATTCACGGTTTGCTTCCGATTCAGAGTCTCACATTTAGACACAAATCCTACTGATCAAGTATTTGGAAACAATTGGCCTCAGACCTGCAGAACAATGTATCTTTTTGGACTTGTAAAACAGGACTTTTAGGGTTGTTTGACAGTTTGTCTTTGCAGCCAGACTACCTTGACTTGTTCCTGAAAGCATTTTTGGCCTCCTATCACAAACTGAATTGACATCATTTCCCGCATAAATAAGAGGAGGAATCAAAACCTCCTATTAGGAAGCCAAGGCAATTTGGGGAGAAAAAAAAAACAAACAAAAAAAAAGAAAGAAAACAAAACAATAAACCAACTAAAACAACAAAAAAATCAAACAAATGCATCTTTAAGTCATGGGACCTTGCTTTTGGCATGCTATTGTACTTCTCAAAGCTTCTGAATGGCTGCACATTAAGAAAGGTTTGAGCTGTCCAGTTATTTAGACTTCCTTTACTCACCTGAACTGCTGACTTTGTCTGTCCTTTCTTGCATAATAACTACTTTTTGATTGCTTAAAAGTACAGAAGCTTGTCCGTCAGATTTGTTGTGTTTAGTCTTACCTAATTCTGTGTGTCTTGTATTGTTTTACCTTGTAGGGTCCACCTTGAAACGACTATGTCTAGGCAAAGATCACAGTAGTAGTAACTATCCCATTTTTGTTTCTCAGTATTTCCTTCATGGCATGGGATGTCTTTTGCGCTTTTTTGTTTTGTTTTGTTTTACTAAAAGCTAGTTGTTTAATGAATAGGGCTGATGCACTTATACTGGTACGAAATTAGACTATATTCAGTTGTGATACTTTCATGATAGTGCATGTGCTGTGATGTCTTGGGACCCACGCATGCTGCAAGACTGTGGTGATATTTCTTTGTGTGTGAGACTGTGCACGCATGCGGCGAGAAAACTGGATTCAGTGTTTGTCTTTCTGAAGTACACACCTTTATATGACTGCAGTTCTCTGCTGGAGGAATTGATAACTGAAACCAGGCTCGTTCCCGTTGAGCTGCATGAAATGTCAAACACCAATTGCAGAGCTTTCCTGTCAAAATCCTTGTTTTTCTCACTGGTCCCTTTCCCCCAAGCAAAGGAAAAGGAAATGAGCAGTATTCACGTAGAAGTTATGTTGCAGGTTGAATGCATGATCATTTAAAGGTTATTAATGTATTTTATGTAACCGTAGGACTAATTAGTGTACCTGGTTTCATTGGCTGGTAACTGATTAACAGAAAAAAGAAGACTGAATGTTCATGTTTGCCTCTGTAAGAATTTTACTACAGTTCTATGAACTTTTTGCTTGGAGAGATGGTCTTTATTTCAAATCTTTAGCCCTGTCAAATACGTTAGCTGAAAAGTTGCTTTATGTTTTCTGCTTAGGTCAAATTCGGGCACCTTCAGTTGCTGTTCCCTGCTGATCTTGCTGTAGTTACCAACACATAAAAAAACCAGATTTTATTTTTTCCTCATAGTTCATCTAGAAATAAGCAAACATAAAAAAGTCTCTGTCGCTACTCTTCCTGTCTGCTTTTATCTATGCCAAAAGTTCCCTATCTTTGTCTTCCAAAACTCACATGCCCACTTACGTCCTCCTCTCTCCTCCTTTTTCTCCACGTTTGTGGTCCCAGTGGTGGGGTGGGGCTTTTTTTCCCCTTGAAAAACCATGCAGATGGCAGAGTAAATGGTGCATACATCATCGAGAGAGAGATTGTGGGTTCCTGGAGCCTTTGAGGCGTAGTGGCCAGCCCCGCTCATTACCTATATGACGGTTTTTCCAGGAGGACGGTAAACTTATGCAAGTAAAATAAACGGTAAATTATTTTTTTTCAAACGTGTGCAATTCACGCAAGTGACACCTCGTGCCCGCCACTCTCTCGTGGTAGTCTCCTCTGAAGAGACATTGCAAGCCTTTAGGATGGCAGTGTTCCTGGACTGCATTCCTTTCTTCTCTCCGAGTCATTAATTTCACCTAGAGAGAAGTCCAGCGGCTGATGTAACATAACGTGACAGAAAAAAATATGAACGCGTTGAACTTGGACCATTTCTTTAAGCAAAGGTGTTCTGTAGAAGGGGGAGGAGGGGAGGAGGGTTAAAAGTCGAAAAAGCCACCATTTGAATTGCGCTAGGTCAGAAAGTTGTTTGAGCACCCAAGTGGTGAAGCAGAGATGCCATCGTCAATTTTCTTTGTGTGTGATTTTCCAGGATCCTCGACAAACAGTCTCGTAACGTGTCCTGAGCCCCTCCCGCAATCAACCCTGCAGGTTCAGGCCAACAACAGTAACAACAAGAAAGGGACGTTCACAGACGATCTTCACAAGCTGGTTGACCAGTGGACGAGCAAAACTGTCGGAGCTGCACAGACAAAACCTTCCTTAAATCAGCTGAAGCAGAACCAAAAAAGGCAAGACATGGAGCCAAAGGCTAATCCCATGCAAACGCAGAATGAGACATGTGGAGTAAGTGGCGCTCCTTGAAGGACTTACCTTTTGCTATGTGTCTGAAAGCCTTTGCAGAACTCAGATTTGGAGGAGGACATAGACTAAAATCACTTCAGATAGATGCTTCCTATAAATGTCCATCTCTTTTCGTTAAGTACTAAAGCAGATTTTTTTTAAAAAACAATTGTCTTTTGGAAAAAATCTTGAGGGATATGTGGGCTGCACTATACAAATATAAAATCTATATTTTTCAATTGCAAACTGCTTATTAACAGCAATATACAGCAATACTCATGCCTTTAACCTTATATTGCTCAGTTGAAGTTTTAACTATTCCTAAAGTTTTCTTCTTTTTTTGATGTTTGATATTAATCTTCCTGAGGCTGAGCTGTGGCTGGTGGCTCGGTGGTAGCGAGCCTTTGTTTTAGCGGAAGCGGGGTGAGTACTGCGCCGACGTAGGGGCCAGCTGGATGAGTTTCTGCCCCTTGCTTTTTGTCCGGGGCATCTTCGAGGCTCTCTCCCTCATGAATATACCATCTTCAGAAATGCTATGAAAGTAGACTAAAACCAGTGGGAACTTGGAAGCGCTGGCCCCATTCGTTCCCTCTTATTTTCAGTAGTAGGAAAAAAACCGTCGCGACGTGCGTTTGTGTGTGCTCAGTGCTTGTTTTTGTGGCTGAGCGATGATGCAGAGGCAGGCACAAAAATGAATGAAGAATGCCGGTTTGCGTTTGTGTCTCACCCTGGTCTGAGTTTCCAGCCCGCTTCCTCTTCCTCCTCATGGTTGGGTGATTCTTTGGCTATTGATTTTTACAGGAAATTCATTTTTTTGGAAGGCTGGAATTTGAGCCAAAGTAGAGGAAAATAAATTAATTTTAAAAGCAAAGAAACGGTGAAAACAAAACCAGTGAGGGACTGCTCTGTAATCTCTTAAAAGCAAGATGACTGGATAGTAAGTTGCTGCCTTTTTGGGGTATAGGAGAAAGAAAGCAGCGTGTACGTACCAGCGGTAGCTCTGCGGTTGTTGAAGAGGTGAGACGTGCCAAAGCAGGAACCGCACTCACGCGTCTGCTTTGGTACCTGCTGGTTCTGGGGTTAGGGTCACCAACTTCGCGGGGGAAAGCATTTGGGCAAATTGATTACGCAAGTTTGTGACAATTCTTAGTTGTACTAAACAAACAAAAACCAGAGAGTAAAAAAAAATCCTTCTTCGTAGTGATGGTTTAACCGGTTTAAACCCATTCTGGAGTAACAGCAACATCTACTTAAAACCCTGTTGGATCTCATAAAATAAGTCAGAGGAGGTGCTAGTGAACATAAACTGAAGATTTCCATAAAATCATGGGGAGGGCACAGGTTTTTTTTATTACTCTCTTTCAGTGTGAACTTTGCAGATTGATATCTTTTTCCCCCAACACTCCTGAAATAGTTCAAAGTATTTGATGGCGGTGGTTTTGTCCACTTAGAACTCCGGGAAAGTGACCGGTTCTTTCGCTTATTTAGATCACCTGTTAACACCAATTTAGGGTTAATTTTACCTTCTGCAGTCTTGGTGTCTCTGTTTGGAAGCCTGTGGAGGAGGCAGAGTATCGCTGTGAGAGGAGCAAGAACATCCCCGTCTCAATATACTGATTTTAGAGGTTTTATTTCTTTCTAGAACATGGCAGTCGTTCCAGGGAATTACCAAGGCTGATGGAAGACTTTTAGAGCTAATTTACCAAGAGCATGGAGAGGCTGGGATTTCCTGCTCTTCATTTCGCATTGCTTGGAAGAGTTGCCAGGTGGTTGGAGACCTTGCCAGCCCCGCACCACCTTGTCTGGGGTGATTTTGTGCAGCAAGTCCTCGGTAGGACTATGTGGACTGCAGAAGAGAGGCAAAAGTAGACGGCAAATATTCCTAGCATGGATGCTTTGGGGGTGCTTTGGCCATGAAGATGGCACAGATTGAGAGAAAACGAGGCAGTGGATATGACTTAAATGACTTTAAAAGGGTTGTTTGGGGAGTTGAGCGTCGTCCTCATGTTTGGACCTTTTGGAGTTCACGCTGAAAGGGAAAGCGAAGTTAAGGGAGGAGACGACTTGGTGGTGCTGGGGGAAAAAGAGCCAAAAAAAAAAAAGAGAGGAAGGAAATTGTGTGCAAGGACCCTTAGTCTGGACAGCCAGGCAAGTGACCCATACCATCAGTGCTTGGAGGGATGGGTTACGCGAGGAGATGTTATGCTTGCACTGAATCGCTGTGGAGCCCACCTTTTCAAACGGGATTGGAAAGACAAAAATAACTCAGGGAATCCCATAAAGGATGGAAAAACCAGCTTCCTAACAGGGAGCGTATAAAGCTCAGGCTGCACTTCTGCAGTCTGTCTGTTAACACCATCTTTTCATCATCTTTTTGATCATCTGCTAAAAAGCCTTTACACGAAAAGAATGAGCACTAAACAGGTTTCAGAGAAAATTATGATAAGGTTTTGTGATGGAAAGAAAGGCTAGGTAAGTTGAAAATGTGGTGATTCTTGTGCCTTTTT